TGTCCTCCACCCAGGTGGGTTCCTGCGGATATTTGCGGATTGCCCGGAAAATCGGAGAAGCATATATGTCCCTCACATTCCCTCACCAAAAAGCTTTCCGAAGAAGAATCGAAGGGTCATCGAAGGGCCACCGAAGGGTCACCTCTCCCAGCAGTCCACCAGCCTATTAATATAATTTAATATATTTTCTTTTTTTTGGGGGGGGGTGGACGCTCCCTGAAATGATCGAAGTGGAGTTGACTATATAGTTGACTCCCCTTGCTTCGCCTGCTTGGTCTTCGCAAAATAGTCAAAGCTCCAAAGGCCATGCCATCCACGAGATTCCATGGATTCTTTCGGGGAGTGCGTGTGCAACTCCAATCTTACGTGCTGAAGCCCCCTGAAATGAAGCAGACAATAGGATTCAAAGGAGACACCTCGAGGCCAGAACTTCAGTGTGAATTCCCAGCGTGCAAGCCGCACTTCCCACGACCGTTTGGTGGGACCAAGAGAGGGACGCGTCACTTGCTCTCCCCTCCGCGGACGTTTCGTTGGAAGGCAAGTCTTGGCCAGTTTCACCAGTGCGACCCTCGCCGTGTCGACGGCTCCTCGGGTGCTGGCGGCTCTTTGTGCGGCTCGGCGCGGGGTGCTGTGCCGGGGGGGGTCATTTGGGTCAAGGAAGCACTGGATGATGATGGATCGTGGGAGGATGAAGATCCGTGAAGCTGATCCTTGGGGTGCTTAGGGGGGGACGTACGTTCAATGAACATCCATGAAACATGGTCAACATGGTTGCATCATGTTGCATCTGGCTGCTGTTGTGGATGTGAATGAACCCTTTCTCGTCCCAAGAATGCCATCAATAGAACCCATCACTCAGTGGCAGAACGAAGGTGCATGAGACCAAGCTATACAGAATAAAAAGATTTATGTCTATTATAGTGTTTGTTTGTGCTTAGTGCCTTGGGTCAAGAATCTGAGAGGCTTGTGGAATTTGCACAAGACAAAGACACGCATCCGAATGGGTGTCTTCGATCCTAGGGTCCCATACGCCGGGCAACGTGGGGACCGAATCCTTGGTGACTCGGTCCCCCACATTAGGTCATTTGAGTCCTCGAACGCCTCACATGAGGTGATTGCTGCGAACGCCTCGGCCGAGCCACACGAGACCCCCTTAGAGGCCGCGTTGGCGCAGTTTCCAGAGGCAAGGGCAGTTTCCGGAGTTGCGAGGATCTGGTCGGATGCCAAGCGAATGATGATTTGTTGGTGGTTTGCATGATGTTTTTTTTTCATGTTGGCGGTTTGTGGATGATTTCTACTTGGCCAATTCGTCCTTTCAGCGAGGCCGAGCTGAACGACGTGGCGAAGCAGTGGCACTCCTGGCGTGGCCCAGTGAGCCGAAGGCCCTCGAGCACCGCCTGGACCAGGCTCTTTGGTGAAGAGGCCGCTGCAGCACCGAAGAGCGTTATGGTCCTAGGTCGTCTTTTTGGGATAGTTGAAAGATGGGATAACGTGGGCAAAGCTGGTAAAACCGAACCCAACATGTTTCAGAATTCAACATGATGTTCCATCTAAGATGATGATGATGGCTCAGTTTGCGATGCTGTTGGAATTTGTTGGACATTGTCAGGAAAGAGTCAGCTGATCAGCTGAGCAAGGCCAAAAGCCTCCCAAGATGAACTAAGTAAAGGGCCTTGCAATATGGAACTTGGGCGTAAGCAAAAACCTGAAAAGCGTAAGGTTGCGTAAGGGAATTGTAAGACATGAATGTTGCGCAAGCTTGCCATATGGTTGTGTTTTCATTAGTAGATCCTTAGCACACACCTTGTCAAGAACGGAACTGTATGGACCATGAGGGCCCGCTCATGTGTTTGTCGCCCGCTCACCTTCTAAACGGAGCCTTCGCGTAAGATCGCGTAAGTTCTCATTATTTGTGAACATGCAGATGCGTAAGGCCTGCGGAAGGTCTTCTTCAACATCCGGGGCGGGTAAGCTCACATTGTGGTCGCGTAAGAAAAGCGTAAGCAGGAGCGTAAGAAAGTTATACGACATAGGGTTTAATCATGCGTGTTTGGCCCAGCTCAGCTGATAGAGGAACACTGCGTGACCAGCGAGTAGCGGATACAATATACAGCATCTCCACAGGTTTAGCTCTTTTAGCAGGCCCTACATGTTAGACCGTCCTTCGCCATCTCCGAGGAGCCATCTCCGATGGCGCCACCAAACAGCAGTCCTGCGGAGGACGTAGCCAGCAGGTGTCGCTGTTTAGGGGGGTATAAGAATGACCGCAATTCTGGCCTGCAATCAAAAACCGACCAACCCGGACCCAAACACTCCATTTTGCCCAAGAGACGAGACAGAGTACCAGACAGTACTCATTTGTTTGGCGGTTGGCCGATCTTCCTGTAGCATGTTTCTTGTGTTCATGATGGATCCAGGTGTGGTACTCATTTTTGTAGTGTTTGACTGTTGACATGATTCTGATTCAAAACGTATAATCATTTTTGTAGTGTTTGACTGTTGACATGATTCTGATTCAAAACGTATCCCGATAAATCATTATTAGCAGATTCCAGATTTGGAAGGTGTTGACGTATCGTGTTTCAACGGGTGGTGTGTCGAGCGCCGAGCGGCTCGTGGTGAAGCACATCTCATTGAACCAGAAAGCACCAAACGAACGCAACGTCCTTGGATCGAAGATCATAATCACCGCATTCCGCATTCCAGTTCCAGAGCTCAGTTTCTCATAGCATGTGACCGGTGTCTGAATCAATTGCCGCACGCGAAGAAGCCGAACGCGGTTCACAATCATACACTGCCGTGAAAAAGAGTAGCCTGGCTAGCCAGCAGGCAATCAGCCAAAATAAAAATTCCGTTGGCTTCGAGCCATAACAGGCCGGGCGTTGAAGTAATTAGCGACAACACTGGGATGAGCTCGCTTACAGCACCACAGTTGTGGAGATCATTGTGGCAGACAACTGGTTTTCAATCCCAACAAAGACGCCATATGTATCCATATGTTGTGATATGTTCAAACGCCATTGCCATGTCCAGTCTCAGAACCGCAGAACCTCAACTCTGTACAGATTGAAACTCCGATCCGCGGCGTTTGGTGGCGACGGTGGTTCCCCCCCCCTCAAACTCGAATTTCCCCAGTTCACTACTTGGACTACTGCGTCTAATTGACTCAACTACGATCAGTCCGGACTGGTCGACCGACTCCAGCGTGTTCCCACCAGGACATCTCCCCGCCACCAGGGCTGGCAGAGACTTGGTCTCACGGAGCGAAAGGTCACAGTGAGGCTGTTCTAAAGAGGGCCGAGGAAAACCAAGCATTTATTTATATATTATATATATTTTTTTCTAGATAGATCAATAATAGAAGCGTCAACTGAGGTTGTTTCGGCCCGAAGCATCATGAATTAACAATATATAATGACATAATATAAGAATACTATATGCGGTTAATGCACCGAAACGAACTGTAGTCAGTTACTTGCTGCACCTTGCTGCCGGATGGTCACGAGCAACTCTTGACCCACACGTATCATAGGCCCTTACAATCTTTGAATGATCAAGTCATCTACCAGGAAGATCAGGATTTTAGACTTGTGTGTTCCAACAGAAGGCTTTGGCCCGGGTTTCTTTTCAATTAACTCAAACAGAGCGAAATGACCGCAGCCTTAGCATCAGAAAACAGAATGATGATGGACACGCTGTTCCTCAGGTGATCTCAGGTGTTGTTGCATTTTTTTGATTCCCTCCCTTTAGCGGATTTGCTCAAACAAGGGCTAGCAACAAAAATATCACGATTATCACGTTTGTCCCGAGGTGCCAAGTACTGTGCCAAGTATTCCATCCTATTTGCCCTTTGCATAGTTTCGACACGGCTAAGGCCTTGCTGCAGAACGCCCCGGAGGAGTTTCGCTGTGCTTTGGATGGGCGGCTGATGATGGACCCCGTTCAAACTCCTCAGGCTGTCAGCGGGGGGCCGAGGAGCAGCCTCGATCCTCCGGTATCTCCTCTCACCGCTCCAAATTTAAATGCACAAAAAAATCCGATTTGGATCTTGTAGAACCTCTAGATCTATAATTTTATAAAACCCTCTGAACCTCTACTCCCGACCTCTGAACCTCTTGGTTTGGACTTCAGAGTGCTGGACCTCACCCCGAACCGGGCCACCGCAGGGTCACGTCTTCGAACGGGCGACGCTGGCCCAAGCCTTGTACCGTTCGGGGAACCGATGCCCGAGCAGCGGTGAGGCGCCAGGGGAGCGGCCGATGGACGGAAAAGCTCCCCTCGTTTCACCATGAGGGTTTGAGAGGCTGGCGAGGTGGATAGATATAACATGACCTATAGATACCTATACAGCATCCTACAAGTATAGCTGTAAGCTTTTTTGAAGCTTTGGTGTGCCCACTGCAAACGAACAGGTGAAAAGGGTTAACCGTTAACCTGTCATTTCGGGAATCTGACATGGTGAGGAGGATAGTTGGGGGGTTTGATGTGGATTTCTTCGGACTCATGAAACTTTTGGGGGGTAAGCAATCCACCGCTAAACTGTTTGATCGTCTCAGACTGGCCTGCTGGAGGAATTTTGAACAGAAAGACTGGCTTTTGCCATGGAACCCTTCCGCGAAAGTTTTGGTATGGCTTCGTGCTTGTTGATGTTCTCGAGAGATGCCCAATAAAGCATGCATAGCTTGGAGTCAAAAGGCTTGGGCCGGAGCGACAGTCAGAGCTACTGTATACATCCCTAGTTCGTGGGATGTTCTTGGGAGTTGGGACATTCTAGAGTGATTGCGGTCAGGCCTAGTAGAGACGCCTTGTCTGGTCTTTTGCACCTTTGTTCATGTAGCATCGTTGTTTTCATGAAGATCGGAACATGCATTGCATGATCCCCCAACCCATTTGCCAGCTCGATGATGGCATGATATAGCAATGAAATGCAATGAATACGATTGGGCCTGTTCCTTCACTCTGAACCCTCACGTGGAGCGATCAACCTCCCGAGCTCCCGCAGTATCCAAGCTCAATACGACCATGGCGGGCGGCCGAAAGACTCCCGCGAAAGCGCAGCCGGCGCAGCCTGCGACGCGCACGCGCAGTACTGCTGTGGCCTGGTGGTGAGTGCTTGAAATCGTGTTTTTTGGACATGTAGACAAGGGCCGGAAGATGATCCCCCTTTTCGGAGGCCGTTGTTAGCCTTATGGCCTCTTCACCTTACCATGAGGAGTTCTCGCAAAACACCCTGAATCAGAACCGGAACAGAACATTCGCAAACTGGCCGAGTCCTTTTCTCAAAACTGCCAGACCCTGCCCCCCCCAAAAAAAAGAATATACAAATCCACTGCCAAACCCTGCCTCAACACGGTGCTTCTAATGACCTCTTTTTGTGCTCCTAGGTGCCTCGCGATGAGGCTTTGCAGAGATTGCAGGAGGCCTTTGTGGTACTGAAGCAGACGAAGCAGGGCAACGGTGCCGCGTCCGCGTCCGCAGCGAAGTGTCCGGGTCGGCGGTGTTCGACGCTGCTCTTCGTCTCTCCGATGTGTGGCGAAAAGCACGGCGCCCGAGCATGTGGGACGATGTCATGCAAGGGAATAAACATCTATATACAATATTATGGAAGACCACCGAGAAATCCTGGCATTACTTCTGGTTCTTAGGGTATATTATAGTAATAATATATAAATATATATATATATTAATACAAATAGTGATAATTACAAAGTAATATGTTGTATTGCGATTTGTTCCCTGTGCTGCAGTTGGTTTGGATTCCGCCCTTGAACTGATGCAACAAATATGCCAAGGCCAGGGCTTGGAGGACTGTGCGCGAGCTGTGGGTGCTGATGATTTGATGCGGCACCCCTCCCCAGATGCCACTAGGACCGTTTCAGAGAGCGGCAGTCTGTGCGCGGAAGGTGCGCAGACGAGCACGGACTCCTGGAGGCTACACTTCCTCGAAAGGCATGGAAGTGGATGGCACCACTTGTGTATTTGGCAAATTGTGTAGAATGGTCATCCAGGGGGCCATCCACGTCCTTGACTCCATTATTTTTAGGCAGTGTTGCGTTCCGATGTTCATATACTTGTGTACAATGGGGGTGTCCCATTACCTGCAACAGTCGGTAAACAACAATCACTATTTTGAGAGAGAGGCATTGCAAACCATCATCATCCACTGTTGCAGGGAATTGGATTACAGCAAATGGGATATACCCAATGTACAACTGGTATGTGGTTTTGGATTTTGATGGAGGTTTATGCATAAAGCTCAAACAGCGGGTGTGCGGAAACAAGAGGCAGAGGAAACAAAACACCTCCCAAAAAGATGAACATCCTTGGTTTTCCACTATGTTCGCGGAAAGTTGGTTGCTCATGAGAACCCCCCCCCCGCTCCGTCCCCTGCGCATCTGGGCATCGCTGAAAAAGGTGAGGCTTTGGGCGGCGAAATGCTTGGCGGAAGTCCTGCGGATCTTCGTCCCATCGCCACCAGTGGAGAAAGAGAGGACGCAGTGGGTATTGGAGTGTCGTTGGAAAGGCGGGTATCGCGTGTGTTTGTTAAATGCTGTGGAACCTGCTTTTGGGGCACTGATGTTGGTAGAAATGTCGTAGAGCTTTGGTTTCCAGGACCCACAAGGGTTGGTCAATAGAAACCCTAACTTTAACCCTTTAACCTCTAAGGGGTCATGAACAGATTGAAGTTCGCACTCTTTTGGGGGGGGGCACAGCTTGGTATGAGTTCGTTCCTTTCTCTCTTGTTTCCTTCATGATGCAGTCAGGGCAGTCACCTCCCGCGGATCAAGCAGAATCAACGTCCGTTTTTGGTCCCAAACACGGAAGCCGGTGCTTTAGGCCGCGAGGTGGAAAGCCGACGCAGCAGGTGATTGACCTCCAGGTTTGGTGACTTGGTAAAGCCTCAAGGCCTGGACTGCAAGGAAGAACAGGACTAGGTTTGGCCCTGAAAAAATGGCAAGTAGAAAGGGATGAAAAGGGACTATATTATCTATAATTCTTTAGCACCACTACAAGCAGTGACTTTCAGGGGTCCACGTGATATCACAAACATTCACAAGAGAGAGTTCGGGAGTCGCACCTACTGCTCAGCATCACCGGAATCTCGCAGGATGCAGCCCGTCTTGGAGCTCTTTTTGGAGCAGTTGGCCTTGCTGAAGGATCCCATGGGCATTTCGGCGTTCAATTTTGGGGTCGGTTTCTCCCTGATGCGGGCATGAGGAATAGGAAAGTCCAAGAAAATCCCAGGGCCTTGTTTTGCTCTAGTGTTCTGTGGAAATATATGTATATATATCTCTTAACGGGGAGAACTTGCTTGACTATGGCTTATAGGATTCACTTTCTCACCATTTACAGACCCAACAGGTCAACTGAAGTGATTTGTGCTAGGAAGGAGAGGTGTGCTCCCAGTTCAGGCGCATTTTGATGTTCAACATGCGTTCCGGACAAGCTGGTGTAACTGGTCCAACTACTGTACATTGAGCCAACTTGAGAGTGAATCAGTTGAAACACCAGGCTCACAACATACGACCCAGGAGCCAGAAGGTTGTTTGTTCATTTGTTCCATCTACCAGGTTTTGGGGGCGCCCTATTTCTGAGCCTGGGCCAATATGTCAACTTGATACAACTTGTCGACTTGAATCTAAACCTGCCCAGGTCCCAACTACACAGAGGCCTTTGGATTGCTCGAGCGGCTCACAGAGATCAGGGGCTTCATGTTGATTTTCGACTGCCCAGACCCGGAGTCCGTCCTTCAGAGCACGTTTGGTCAGTTTTGTTTCTTTTTGCTGCAGGAGGTGCTTTAAAACCCGAACTCTTTGCGCAATCCGGTGGCCGCTGCCTCTTTGGCCAAATCATCAGTTGGCCACCCAACTCAGCCTGATTGATAGCAAACTCCGCTGAGCCTTAGCTCCATCCCAGCTATATACCCGAAACTGCTCAATCCGTGGAGAAAACCGTTTTCTCATGTTTTCTCCCTGATGAGGAAGACCCCCTGTTTGGTCTTTGGATGCGTTTGGTCCTCCTGTCGGAGCCATGCCATCCACGGAGCTCCGTTCGGCGCACACGTCGACGAGTCGACGTCGGGTCTGCGGTCGGACTGTTGGTCCACGACGTCTCCATCTCGGGAATAGGGGAGAATCCAGGTCAGTTTGGACCGTGAAGGTTAGTTTGGGTTCCTGGTGGGCTTGTGCTGATGGGAGAGAATGAGGTAATATAGATATATAGCTATGAGCAGCTATATATGGACTGGCTTGAAGCGGAACTTCAGGTGGCAGGATGTGTTTTTCACGACCTCACGGCCAACGAACTCCCAAACCTTTCAGGAGTTTGGTTCTCTCAGAAGCACGAAGACGAAGAAGACCAGGTGAGAACCTCCACGGTGAAACCGCATGCTTTTCCCCAAAGCCGTTTGGCAGTCTCCGGCAGCCGGGCTTTTCCTCGCGTCTCAGGTGATCATCTCCTTGGTGACCACCTGCCTGGAAGCAGCTCGAGCCAAGATGGGAAGCTCCGATGGCCAGCTGGAGAGTCTGCTCACACCTCTTCTGACCAACATCCTGGGCGAGGTGTGCTGCCGTTTTGGGGGGGTTGAAGGATCGGGAATGGCCAGGCAGCCAGGGAACATGTAATTACGCAACATCTCAGGACACATGAGGAAGCACTTTTCTGGGTTGGTGTTAGTGTTGGTGGACGGAAGTATTGCCATGTGAACCTTCAGCACTGTCGGATCATGTCCTATCACCATGTGTGTGTGCTCACCAAACCCATTCACTCGTTTCCCCCCAAAACAATCCTGAAATCCCCATTTTTTCCACGCGCTATGGCTTGCTTCGGTGCAGCATGATGGCTTCGGCAGGCCGATGAACTCCCGAAGCACGCCTTGGGTGAGCTTCTGGAGGAGCTCATGACTAAGCGCAAGGGAGCAGCCTCGTTGGTCCGACGCGTCCTGGGTGGCTTGGCGGAAGGAAGCGCTGCCGTGCCGATCAACGACTACTTGAACAAGGCCCTTTTTTGGGGCTCCAAAAAGTGTCCAGAGCCTGGATTTCCTAGGCTTCAAAGGGGCTTTCCGCAGACGGTTTGCTTTCGATTTTCCAGAAGTTTGGCCCAGTGAGAGGCACTCTTCACTGGGGAGGAAGAACTGCGCGAGACTGAGAAGGCTCCAGGATACAAGATATCTCAGGAGCGATTGGAGGGCATCCTGTGCGCGACCTCCGAGCTCTACTCCATTCAGCCCTCTTTGGTTGCCAGAGTATTGCCAAATCTTCAGGCAGACTTGCAGAATGTGAATCCGGATCGGAGGCGTGCTACTACAGCCGTGATTGGACAAATCTTAGCATATTGCCATCCTGTCAGTGAAGGTCAGAACGTCTCCACTTCAGGTCTACAGGACGGCCACAGATCCATGCACCGGGCCCTGGGAATGAGTGGGTTTGTTAGATGTTTTTGATCACCCCAAACATGAAGAGTCAGGCTTTAAGAACCATGAACAACATGGAAGTGGGACAGACCCACTAAACCATGTTTGTAGTCTTCACGGCCAAGCCTGCTAAAACTGCACATTGTTTATGAAATGATTGACACCAATCCATTAAAATGCACCCATTGCGGGACCTTGCGAGTCTCCTTGAAGAGGGCACGGGAAAAAGAGAGAGAGAGAGAGACTCACCTCCAGGACCGCTTTCGGGATCGTTTGGGGGACGCGGATGATGGGGTGCGCATGACTGCTTTGGAGGGCGCAGCTGGAGTGCTGCAGTCGGCCATTGCACAAGTGGCAACGGCGCATCCGGTGGTTGCAGTGGGCGACCTGGTAGAGCGGTAGAACTCGTTATGTTGACCTGTATAGATTGATAACCCCCCCCCATATTGGAGGTGATTCGCAAATCTCCTCGAGCGGCTTGTAATCAACAGTCGACCCTTGCAACGGAGGTTGTACCAGCTTGCTTCTTCATGGTGACCCTTTCATACAATGAATAATGTGTGTTCATATGTTCCGAATTCCCTATTGTCTTCCCTTATATAAAATATCGATAAATCTATTACAAATCTTAGTATTTGCCGTAAATCTTTGGATTCAGATTGGGGAGGACGAGGTCGACCCCGCCGATCGCGGCTGAAAACTCGCCCAAACGCCCCACGGCACCGATCCCAGGCGAGTCCTTGCGGGAGAAGATCCTGGAGCGCTGCTTGGATCCCAACGATGCGATCCGGCTCCGTGCGGTGGAGATCGTCACCGAAGCGGCACTCGCTTCTGAAGCGGCTCGTGCGGAATGGACACTGGGGATGGAATGGGGGGAAACATGTACGGTCCTTGACAAACAGGGGGTGAAGTCCATGGTTTTCCACTTCCATGTTGATTGAGTCAGTGAGTAGTGTCTTTTAGGTCTTCAAAAAGTTAAGACCTTTCGGCCGTTGTGATGTGAAAGACACTTTCAGAGACATTCTTCGAAGGTCAGGGAGTCGTAGGAATAGAAAGCAGCAGAAAGACCAGCATTGAACATCTTGCCCGCTGAACTGGTGAATGTTGAGAATATGCTGGTGACTGCTGGTGTTGGTGCTTGGTTCGCTCGTCGTGGACGATGGGAACCGCCCGCGAAAGTGGTCTTGCATTCCCATCTCAATGGTCGCCTAATCCGTCCTTCAGGCGGGTGTGCGCTTTCTCTTACCCATCCTGCCAGACGCTTGCCGCCGCATCCTGGACAAGAAACCCCGAGTTCGGGAGGCTTGCGCGGAGGCCTCGGCGAAGCTCTACGCGAAGCATGCCTTGCCCAGGTGGACAGAGGGCAACTACCAGGCGCAACTGCGTCGAAATCGCGTTGATTTCGACTTGCGCGGTTCAGGGGCTTACAGTTGAACCAACAGGTTGACCACATTCAACATGGTGCCACGGCTGAGCTCTTAGGTGGGTGTTGAGCGCAGCTGACCGCTGACTTCCATTCTGTAGAATCGACTCTGTCAGACAGCTTGAGTTGATCCTGATTGATCCATGCCATTGATGTCGCTCAAAACCCTAAAAACACCGAGGCAGGACAGGAGCTGAATTGGATCCCTCAGTTGTTGCTCGATGGCACCGCCGTCAATCTGGAAGCCTCGAGAGCGGGTAGAGACAGGGGTGGACTGGCAACCGAGGATCATATTCATGCATATTCATGCGTAATACGCATACATATATATATATATATTATATTGTCATTTATATATTCGTATTTTCCAAATTCCAAGAGTTCAGGTCCTTCTCAACAAGCCTCACTGTTCCGAGCTCGCCATAAAAACAAAAGGAACGTCGCGGCCGCTGCGTCTGAGATGTTCTGCTGAAACCGGAGAATCCGACGGAGGGCCTGAGACGATCGCTGAGGTTGTGCGAGGCCTACGCGGCCTTTTGCAGCTCCCGCTTAGGCTACGTGGCGCAGCTGGAGGAGCACATCGAGCAGCACGTCTTGGGATGCGGTGCTGGACTGCCCCTTTGGAGCACGAAGCTTTCAGCATGCGCCGGCTTGTTGAAGGTCGTGCTCCAAATATATACTCAGGCGTAGAGCATGAAGATGAGACAACCCAAAGTCTTGGAGCGTTCCTGTTGGAGTTAGGGTTTCGTGCTATGTCAAGATTACATAAGATTACATCATGCATCGAAACATATGGGACTCCAAGAAGGGCACAAAAATGCGGGGAGTGCACGAATTGTACGACATGCTAAAAACACGGGGCAGGTCAAACAGGTCAAAACATGTCCAACTCCTGTTTTTGCACCGGACTCTTCAGGTCCGAAGGCCAGCGGGCCCTGGCCCTCTTGGGCTTCTACAGCTCAGCAGCTCAAGGCACCGAGGCCGCGGTGCACGGCCTACAGACGCTCTTAGCCAAGAAGCGGGATGCACACCGCGCGCTGCGGAGATACATCCAAAAGCGAAGCGAGAAAGCTGCACCTTTGGGCGAAGCTGATGCCGGCAGCTCCCTGGTGCTTTGGGCTGTTTCCAGACCGACCGGATCTGGCCGCCACCGGCACGTTTTCGCGAAGCGAGTTCGGTGTTCTACCCCAGAGTGGTGACCGGGGATCCTCGATTTTTTGCCGAACATGGGAGGGGTCAACGTCCAAGCGATGGCTCATTCTCTAAGAAAGTGGCCGGGAGGACGAATCCTAAGGGGTCAGGCAGGTATATGCATGCTCTAACAAAAGCATAGTTTACTAAAGAATGAGAACTCATGAAACTGGCATAATCTAGAGACAAGAAGGCATGCTCTTGAGGTCATTGTTCAAAAGATCACCTTGTGCTCTGAAACATGCTGTCCCTTCATTTCTAGAGAGGATCCTTCATTTCCAGATTATGATACGACAAGATATTGCAGTAAGATAAGTGATGATACATCATGGTGGGTGATTGGGCTCTCCACTAGGGCCTTCAGCCAGAACTCTCCAGAAAAAAAATAGGCTTCTCCAAGCACCAAACCCACTAGAAAATGAGGAGGTGCAACTCGTGAACCCAATGTTTTGTGTTTTGTTGGTCCCTCGCTAGAGAAGGCAAAAAGCCGATCCATGATGCTGGGCGATTCATCATCCCCCAGCAAATACCAACACCTGACCCCGACTCTTAGGGGAACCCTTGTGGGGGATTATGGGGGGATGTTTGGGGTATGTTTTGGAGAAGTTGCAAAAGCTTCCAACATGTCATTATATCACTAATTAGTCCTTACAAGTCTTACAAGCATCGTCATGTCAGAAGTTTGCCTTCTTCTTCACTGATGCTTTTCATGTTTGTCTCATTCTCTCCTCTGGGTGCATGTGCTCCTGACGCTCACCGTCTTTGGCGAGGCCCTGGTCCCACACGAGGTGGCCGCGGCGGAGCCGCACTCACGGCCCGAGGCCATTGAGTGGCTGGAACAGCTGGGGCGGCTTAGCCCCACCATGGATGACAAGTACACCCGTCCTGAGGCCGGGTGGGGGTGGTTCAACACGATGGGCACCAGACCCGCTGGAGGGTTTGACATCTCCAGGCCGGTGGCCTGGAATCTATATTTGATTATATTTGTATACCAACCAACATCTATACATGCCACATATACCCAAACACGCAATGTAGAGTTTACATCGGCGTGGTTGGTTTTTTCGGGGTCCATTTGGGCTGTTACACATGGACTGGAGACAGGCTTCCCCGCCCGTCTCCACCCGTTGTGTTTCGACGAAGCAGCTCACTCGAACTCCACTGAGGTTTTGGCGGCACACATCCGTGCCTTCGACGCCGTGCGGGACAAGGGTTTGTGGAAGCAGCTCGAGAAGTTGCTAGAGCCAGCAGGCTCGCACACCCGACACCCCAGAGCGACATGATGGAAAGAAGGGAGTCTCAATGCTTTGTTACATGCGCGAGTAGTATTATATTTTTCTTTATTTGTGAATGGAATTGAGGTACCATGACTCTCACCTGAAAAAAATGATTCGTGTGCAACCAAAGGTGCTAAGTGTTTTCAAGGTGCTTCGTGGTCATTGCTTGCTTGCTTCTCTCGACCGATTCATTGGTGCTTTGGATGCTGTTAGGTCAAGAAAGCACGGCGCAACTGGCTGGCTCTTTGCAAGAGCTCGATCGTCTCCTGCGAGTGCATCGCCTCGCAGAGTTGGCTCCGCTGCTGCGCCGGGCACTGGTGTCGACCTGGCTGTTGCCTGATCAGGTGGGCCAAAGACACCAGCAGAAACACACACGTCAGCGTCCTGTGCAGCAGGAGGTCCCTGTGCGGCTGGGGGTAGAGTCGGACATGATGTTTGTCAAGGGGTAGAGGGCAGGTACAGTCTACGTACTTGAGCCTTGGGTTTGCAAGATTTGGAGATCAAACAGTCACCACTTGACCGGCAGTATATGCCAAGAAGTACTTCCCCCAGTGGCCTATGGGGTGGCCCAACTGCTACGATTCTAAGGTGTATTATATATATATATATATACACACACTTTATTATACTTTAATGATAGTCTAAATTCTAAACAGTATGAATGTTCTCCAACATCTCCGAGAATGAAGCCGATGAACTTAGCAATGAAGATTCGCCCTGCGCCCTTGGCAGGTGGCAGAGCTTCTCAACATTTGGAAGAGCTCTCCTGAAGTCTTAGATGAGGCCCCATCTTCTGAGCTTGTGGCTGCTGCAGGGATTACCATCGCCAACCTCGCCAAATCCTTCCCAGGTGCATTCATGCCATTTGTGGGCGAACTGGCCAAACTTCTGCCGGAGTCCTCCGCGGAAGATGCCAAGGCAAGCCAGCTTGAACAACCCCCGCCTTTGACCGCCTTGGTAGTTTGATGTTTTTGTTTGGTGGCAGGGTTTGGTGCCGTAACAATAATTCACAAAGCAATTTCTTGTTTGCAACACTGCTCAGGTGATTCTGCAGACATTGGCAGCCATCGCCAAGAGAGCTGATCTTGAGCCATCCCAACTTGAGGCTCAAAACCTTTCACAGACGCTTTTGGAGGCCCTCTCCTTGTCAGAGTCCAGTTCTATGGCATCTTTGAGTCGCAAAGTGGCCAAGATCATGCTTTTGCTCTCGGAGAAAGACTGCTGCCAGGTGTCGTTGGAGCTTTTGAAGTGGGCCGAAGAGAACAAGGAGGCCTCAGAGAGCAAGCTCCAAGCCCTGTCTTTGCAGCTGGCGGCAGCACTTCTGGAGTGGAGCAGGCGTCATCCCCACTTTCCGCACCTCAGCGTCGAGCCGTGGCTGGCTGAGGCGCGCCGAGTCTTGAGCCAGCCCAATGGCGAGCGTGACGAGAACACCTCGATGGTGCAGTGTGCAGCGGCCGATTTGCTGGCAGCCGCCGGAAGTGCAGAGGACGTGGCGAAGATCCTGTTGGCGCCCAAGGTACGGGTGAGGAGACAACCATAGTTGCTACAAACATCTATAGTGTTCAGCAGTCGTCAACAACTCTTTATATAAGCAGGTTGGTATGAGGATATCGTAGTCCTTCAACTGGAAGAGGTGAGGACCTAAGGACAAAACCAAGAAGGACAAACCTTTACAAAACTGTGGCAGTGTACTTGGATTGGTTGCTCATTCATCGTGTTTGAGTTGAGCTTGGTGCCTACCCCTCGTGTTTCACCAAGAGACCTTATGACCACTTGTATCCCTTGTTAGGCTGCGGTTGCGACGGAGGCATTGGCCCTGACAGATGGCACTGAGGATGAAACTCGCCCAACAATGGCAAGGCCAACATCAAAACTGTGATCAGATTGGATCAGGCGATCGCATGAGAAGGCAGAATCACACCCGATAGGCTTCAGAAATTAAACATGTTGATCCCCATCAAAGGCGGAAATCGAAGCTGCGCGTTGGAATTCGTGCGCGGGAATCTGCGGTAGCTTTGGTGCTGCCCAGCTGGAAAGCTGAGTGTAGAAGCCCAAGACCCACTTCGACTCCGAGAAACTCAAAAATCGGCCACGCATGGGCGGTCCTGGCTCCACTCTCTGGCAGTTCTCGAGGAAAAAGACTCAATGACCCATCACTTGGATCAAATGATGTGATCTATCAACCCACCAGCACCTGCAGATGGAAAAAGTAGGTACAACATGTACAAAGATCCCACCCCCCGCAATGAGCTCTATTCCCCGGACCAAATTCTCTTGTTCACCTTCATTGTCCATAAAGCTCTTTGAGGCTCTTACTTGATCCAATCCACAGCCAAATCTCATCTCCCGAGGCAAAATGGCCTTGGTTCGACCCTTTGCCCGTGCACGCCGCCTGCGCTGCGCTGCGCGCGATCCGCTTGGGCACCGTCGAGTCGTCCACGCTGCTGCTTGCGCGCATGGGCGGGCGCTTAGTCGCTGCGATGGGCACTGGTCGGCCCACCATCGACCCGGCCACCTGGCGATGAACATCGGGCGCGACCCATCGGGAATCGATGGGAGGGTCGGGATTTGGGTCACATTGTGGGAGGCATCTCATGTATGGTAGGAGGATGTAGCAATGTAGTATAGCTTTAGCAAAGATGCCCAGACGAGAAGAACATGAGAGCGATTCTGAACTGGCCAAGCCGAGGAGCCTCTTGAAGGGGCAGGCTGGTTGTGGTAGGTTCAGAAGAGATACCCAAGCCATCCCAAACCCCACTGCTACAGTGGAACCCTTCTAAACCTCTCTGAATTTGAGGTTTGGCCGCATTTGCTCTCTCCACTCAACATGCCTAACCAACTGTACTTCGATGAGCTTTACAGCCTGAACACCAACAAACATTGGGCGTTGTTTGTTTGGCGAGATCCACCCCCTGGCTGATGGGAAGATATATCAGCGATCGAAACCAAGAGTGCAATTCTTAGAAACTTTAAGCTATAGATAGTGATTGTGCTGAGAACTGGAACATCAACAAGGTGACCCATGTTTTTTTCTTGCTGGTAACTGGTAATCCCCTCTCCACTTCAGTAATGCCCCTTCGTTTGCTTCATCTAAGGAGAAGTTGTTGCAATCCTTGCTCACCATGACGATTTGGCTGCGTTTGGTGACTTTTCGTGGTCACTGTTTGGGTGGAACCTTCCATCGGTTGATGTGCGAGAAATGCTGGAAAAGCATGAGAGGTCTATAGAAAGGTCTACGAACTGTGTCATGCACAATGTTGCATTGCTGTTGATGCTTTGGGGAGTTAGGACAGTTAGGACGTTTGACGATTGCCCAATGGATTGGCCTTTTTGACCTACACCAGGAATCCCAACCGAGCAACTAACCGATCAATTATGTCGCACCTGTGGAGAGCAGAAGCGTCAATGTCAGTCAGCTTTGGCCATTCTATATAATCCACACGAACGACCCATCAGGAAGAGGTCATCATCAGCATCAAAACTGAAGCCTGCTGAACGTCCCTTGGCAGTGTCAAATCAATGGCTGCAATGGCAGATGCCAATGAAACACACGAGCCAACGTTTGGCAGTCGCCTGGCACATTGTTCCTTTCAGGAAAGCATCAGAATTCTCAAGAATTCTCAATTTAATACTCTATAGAGACAGCAAAGAGAGACGAGAGAGAGAGAGAGAGAGAGGCGGGAGTGCGCGAGGGAGAGAAAAGAAAGCACGTGCCGAAAGAGGAAGAATAAGAAACACAAGTTGAGACACATCTAGGAAGAGAAGGTTTTGGCTTTGATACTGGGTTTCAAGACCTTATGCTCACCAAAGAGAGGTTCCAAGCCAACTGTCACAGGTCGATTTGGTATATGCATGAGTATGCATGTCTATATGCATATGGCATGGTTATGGCTCAAACATGGTGCCCAACACCCGACGGGCACACGGGAAAAACCGTGACACCGATAGCTACGGGTCCTTGGTCCTCCTTGGTGCTCCCTGGTCCTCCTCCCTGGTCCTATGATGCATGTGGACATCCAAAGGAAAGCACCGGAAACGGGTCATGTCCTCGAATTGCTTCCTTCACACACACGCACACACACACATATATATATATATAGATACACTATATCTACAGTGCGTTTGCATGTGTTCATATCCTATTTGCTCCAGGATGGATACCAAAATAGTTATTGTATATATTCATAACAGTCATGTAACGTATAGCATCCATGGTCCTTTTTCCGGACGAACGCGTTCGATGCCTTGAGAGCGGGAACGGAACCGAGGCTTAAGGGTGTGCACCGCGCTGCCGGCCGTTTTCGCGTTGGCCTCACTGAAGAGACATCGAGACGCTGCGCAACTGATGTTGCAAGGGTCCCTGAGAGCTGCGTGGCAAGGCGAGGTGCGTGGCAAGAGCTGCTCTTTGACAATCACACACACACATACCTAGCACATACCCCTAGCAGGTGCCCTGTTTGGAGACCTGTTTACATGGGGTGGAGTAGTCTATTGGCCATTGGATGATCCTGGTATATATATATATACATATTACATATACACGTTGACAATCATTGACATATACATTAATTTTTAGAGACTGAAACGAGCCCATTTCCCATTTTTAGTAACGTATCATCGTATCCTTTTATCCGGGTTATCAGTGTAGACACGTCGAAAGACTAGCCCCCCCTTTTCCACGTAGCTTAATGTAGCGTACATACCCTCTATCCGTGGGAGTGGACGGCCAAGGCCACAGTAGTTTTTCAAGGCAGCATGTTTTACTTGTTTATGCTTCTTGCAGAAATAGGGGGTAGTTGACCACTCCTTGACTGGAACGTTGGGGGGCCGCTTGGCAAAGATTGGAGTGACCAAGTGGAGAGCTCAAAACCTACCGATTGGAAGAAGATGTGGACGCTACGGGTGTTCTTGGGGTCGCTGTTGGCAAAGGTCTGGGATCAGTGGAATGGAGCCAGCCATGTACTGGTAGGTAAATTCGTTTGACCTGCCAGTAGAACCACCACCGTAGCACACCTAACGCATCCTGATGCAAGCAACGCAGCAATCAAAGCCGACAAGTATTGGCATGAGGATCAACTGGAAATTGAAACTTCGCCATGGCAATGAAGATTCCAGCAATGCAGGTCAACGGCGAAATGATTTGTCGCGAGGTGATGGCGAACATGACAGGTAGAGAGCTAAGCGACAGATTAGGCAAAGGCGGCTTTGCGACGAGGCGACTCGCCAAACTGCCGTCGTGGAAACTCTGGTTGAGGGCCGGCTTCTGAGCAATGCTGAGACGGTGGCAGACGCCGGCCTCGCTGTGGAGACTGCTGTTGCTGTGAGTGTTGTCTACAAACCCAACACCGTGAGATGCTCACATCAAGGTGCGATCACGAGACTTCGCCGTGAAATTGATACAGATCTTCTGCTCATGGTTGAATTCCAAAGCAATGAGACCCGAATTGGATCAGGAGCCTTCCAAGGCTGTAAAATGTGAGCTAGATTGGCCATCCCAGACTCAGTGACGAGAATTGAAGAGTTTGCCTTAAAACGATTGCAGCTCTTTGACAAGCTTGCTCATCCCGGACTCAGTGACCCACATTGATGATGGTGCCTTTCAGAATTGCAGTTTCTTGGTGAACTTGACCATTCCAAATTCAGCTGCCCACATTGGGTCTCAGAACGGCAGGAATGTCCCACGGGCGAAGCGCAGGAAATCAGGAGTTTGTTGGATCAAGTCTTCTCGCACGCATTGACCCGAGGGTGAATGACCCCACCTTCAGCAATCTAAATGTATCAAGAGTACGTCATTGCACAAATCCCATTCCTCCTTGTGTTTTAAATGATCTTTTGTGCTTGACCAAAGGTCCGCTAGTCGCTTTTGCGTGCGGATACTGTTTAAGTGGGGTTTGCAATGTGTTTGTGTTTCTACCAGTTGCTTGGCCTACCCCAGTCGGGCTACTCACAACTCAACTTTCCGAGATGGGATGGGCATCAAGTTTCCCAAAGCTGGTACTTCAAAGCTCAGGGGCCTTATGCAGTAGGGAAGCCAGAGCCAGAGCCTCAGTAGTGTTGATGCTTTCCCTTTGGTCAGGTGAAATCAGTCTTGAGTTCTTGTTGCGGCTAAGTGCTAACAGTTAACACCACCCGGTCTCAATTGATGCTGACCATCCAGTTGACTTCGGAATGAGTTTGGGGCAGCCAGTTCAACCTAACAACGTGCCTTAATGTTCCGCATCGGGCAGTGTTCCTGTTTGCAACTTGATCCCCTTCAAAGTCGGGGATGCAAAGCCACAAAGTTCATCCAAAAGCTGATTCCACCTGACCCGTCTTGGCACACGCTGGCGTTCGGCATGCAGACACTCGCTGATGTCCACGGCTGCCAGGTCCCCAGACAGAGCTTTTGGACTTCGCCGTGGCATGCTTCGTGCATTTCCTCTCCAGGCAGAATCAGCAAGGGATGCTGAGCGGAGGGGGACGTTTTCGTCGTATGGACAGTGGACAGGCCCAGGCCATCTGGGTCGGGCCCTGTTCCAACCATGAAACCTCCACATTCGTCTAGACTTTGCCGTTGGTGAAGGCTTTGTGGTCACTGTAACCGGTCGGGCGGGAGAGGCTTGCGCGTTGGGTTCGACGACGACGACGACCGACTCGCCAGGTTAGACGTGTTCAAGAAGGAGGTGGCCGAAAAGGTGTCGGCTTTTCCGGACAGCAGCAAGGCGGGGGATGTTTGGTGCAGTAATGTCAGAAAGAACACCTGTCAGAAAATATGCCAGATAAAATGCCAGAACCTGTGCCAGATAGGGTTTGGTGTGGTTGAGCATAGGCTTTGAAACAAGGTCTCATTCAAAGTTCGCTTCGTGGGTTGAACCCCGGTCATGGGACCCCAAGGGTTTATGGCTGTGGGTGAGAGCTGAGTGGTATTTGCTGGACTTGGGTCTTCACTGTTTGCACGGTTTCCAGACTTGTGTCCTGCATCGCGAAGAGTTTGCCACCTGCAAATCATCATGTCTGGTGTTTTTTGTGACATGCTCCGCCGATTGCTTCACACCTCCCACATGACCGGCCGATGCGCGATGCGCGGTAACTGGTGGGAGGAAGTTGAAGCACGGAAGTGTGAGTCTTTCTAGTACCGTGGTGAAATTCAAGAGTGTAGAATGAAGGATGATGAAGGGATCTAAGGGATCAATAGGTTGCCATTGAGGAGGCAGGGTGGCAGGGTGATGTGAAATGATTTAAATTTGATTGTATAAGCTTGTTTACTACTAGGCTTCAAGCCCGAAGGAAGGTTTTTCGGGTGTATGGTGAACACGCCCTGGCTCAGGTGGCGGCATTCTTTTGTGATGCGCTCCTTCGATGCGATGTTCAACACAGCGCAGAGCTCTTGGGTGTGGCCCTACGTGTGTGCGATCGTGTGCGCTACTTTGTGGACCGAGAGGAGGGAGAGAGCAGCCATGAAGGGCCATCATTGCGATGTGTTTTGTCCCCACTGTTGTGAGTGCGGTGCTACTGATTTGGGCATGTGAAGGGTACAGGTTGAGATCCCATGCTGGGCCAGCATCATCATTTTGGCCAGCATGCTGTCCTGCTAACAATGATAAGGGGCAAGTCCTGCAGCAATGAAGTGTAACCAAAGAATATATTATACCATATTGTACCAGCACTTGATGTTCAATGAGACTGCCAATTCAATCCTCCTCCGGCCAACTCCACTATATAATCACGTTGTAGGTGAGAACCCATTACAGGGGCCAGAAATATTCTCGAAACGAAGTGGTTTGACCTATATAAAAACATGTGGAACATCCATTCTGATCTCGTAAGCCAAGAGGCCCTTGATGTTAGAATTGTATGCGCACAAACAAGTGCACACTACGTTTGAACGCCCCCTACCCAAACCCTCCAATCAATGCGATCTTTCCACCAGAAGCTGCGGAATCCCTCTGGTTCTTCCGCTGATTTCGCACAGGATCCCAGCAGTGACGCGGTGCACCGTGCGGGCTGCGTGCTGCGCTACGTGTGCGAGAAGCGTTGCCCAGAGTTGGGGCTGCAGGGGGCGCAGCTGCTGCAGGGCGCGGCGCCGTGGATCCTTTCAGAGCGGGGGGGGACATGTGGGGGTGGATGGAATGTTCGGCAGGAGTTCGGTTGGACAATTCCAGTGAACGGAAATTGATATATATATATATATTGTATTTGGAGCCAGTTGAAGAATAGGGAGCGTTTGAGATCGTTTCAGTTAGAGCCCCTGGTATAGGAAGGTGAAACCATATACTTATATAGTATATATTCAATCATATCTTATGGTAAATTTATCTAATTATGTAGTTAGATCTTGGTTGCAACACCCCCACAGATGGATGTTTGGATTTGTTGTACATTCAGGGGATTGGAGGTCTCAGAGGGCTTCAAGATTATGGATAGTTATAGCCTCAAGATAGCTATTTGGATAGTACAAGAGTTTTGTATTTAAACCAGCTGTTGGCTTGCGGACCTCCACAAACGGATCAATCAGAGTCCCGACCGGTCTTGGACAACGCCCGATTGAAGATGTACGCCGCAGGATCAACACATGTCAAAACCCACCCCAAACACTCCCGGACGGTCATCATGGTCATCAGCTTTTGCAGCTGATCCCCCGACCAAGGCCAGAGGCAGCATGCCAGCACAACTCTTCGCGATTCGTCCTTCTTCTGGCCGACCGGCGGCGAATATTGCGCTGCAGGAGGGGGGGGATGAGCGGTTCAACCATGAACCGCTGTGCACGGCTGTTTACCACAAAGTGGGAGTCCGTCAACAACCCCATGGCAAGAGAAGCAATCAATTTGCATGCAATCGTCATGCAATCTTGCAAGAATTAAATGATCTATATAAATCTTGCAGAGATTGACTGAAATCTAGGACTCACCAGACCGCCCCGTTGGCGTGGCGCCAGCGGCTGCGCTCAAAGATCCTGAGGTTGCCAAGGCAGGGAACCTTGGAGGATTCGTGGAAGATGCTGAAAAGAACACGCGTTTGCAATCTTCTGCTTCAGAAGTTGATTCTCCATGGCCCCTCGAAAAAGGATGACTATTTTTGGAGGTATTCTTTTTTGTTGAGTTTGAAGATCTTTTTCTTGGATTTGCTTCTGACTGCTTTTCTTGCTTTTCCTTGAACCTCTATGACCTCCCCTGCTTTTCTTGCTTCTCATTGCTTTTTCTGTAGACAATGCTCCCGCTTTTCTTGCTTTTTTCCGTTTGTTTGTGCTTGTTTTGCTTTTCCTTTGTGAATTGTATTGTCCATTATTGTCCTTACTTGTCCTGCTCCCTTTGCGCTTGGTTTGTTCTTCCTGACTTTTCTCCTGTACTTTCCTTCTTCTTGTCTATTGTGGTGTATTGATTCCTATAATCATAAGGGCTGGTTCTTTCTATTGTCTTTGTTGCTTTGTGCTTGCTAATTCTGGCTTTGTATGTTTTTCTCACTCTGTGTTTTCGCTGCACTGATGGTTGTGCTTGGGTTCACCTTAAGGAACAACCCAAGTGCATCATATGAACAACACTCTTTCATTCGGGGAACAGCTATATAGCTTTTTCACTTCACTGAAGGAACTATAGAGCAACCACGACGGCACAAAAAGAATCCCCCAAACGCAGTGCTTTTCAAGTTCCACTAAGGGAACTATCGCACAAACAAATCACCAAACGCAACAAAAGAGTTCAAAGAAAAAACGGACCCCTCGAAAAAATACTAGTAGCGTACATAATAAATAGCATGCAAGCAACGCTTGGAATCGCGGCCAACTCATGCGCATGCCTCGTCCGCGGAAGTCCACGGCACCAGGCCGGCGCAGTCGTGGCGCAGGGCGCCCATGCTGTGAGGTTCTCAGGTTCTACTGGGGCTCAAAACGTATTGAAGTGATAAACGGAACGTGTGGGGGCAACACTAGGGACTCCAAGCCTCACCAAGCGTCAGCTGACGGTGAAAGAAACACATGATGATCCACGAAGATCCAGCGAAACCGACCGACATCGGCCCAAAAAAGACGCGCAGCACAGCACGGTCCTCGCCATTCTAAGCCTCGGAGCAGCAGAAAAGAACCTCAGAGCCACCAAGGCCCAGGCCCTGGCCACACCACAACGGCGGCCCAGCTTGCTGAAGCGGGCCACCCCCTCGGGGGAGTCGCCGGGAGCAGCCTCTTCAGGCGGAACGCCGCGGCGCGGCGGCGCGCCGCGCGTGCCCCGCACGGCCGGGACTGGATCGTTTTCAGGTCAATCGACACCCGGGAAGAAGACCCACATGGAAACCTGATGGCAAGGACCTGCAAGGAAGATGAAGCTTCAACCCAGGTGGTTTTCAGGTTTCAGGGGAATCGTTCAGGGCGTACAGGGATTGGGATTGGATGGATGGATACTCTTCTTTTAGTAATGAGATGCAGCTCCATTCAACAGGGTCCATCGGTGAACTATATAGGTGGTCCCACCAGGAGCCTCCATCCAGCAATTTGTTCCATGTCCATGTTGGCAGATGTTGAGCACCTTTCAAAACCATGTCCAACACCCTACACAGTTTCATCCCCTCCTGGCACTGCAAGCAGATCATGGATGGGTGCGGAAAAGATGGGTCTTTGATGCGGGTCTTGGAAGACCATTGCAGACGGAGATCGGGGGATTGTTCCATGAGTTAAGACATAAGGCAGGGGATACAACAAGGTTGTGTGATGCATTTGGTGTTTGATATTTTGGGATAGCAGGGCACCATTGTAACGTAGGTGTTGTGTCGCAAATCAGGAGCAACTTAAGCTGCTTGACCTTCACAAATGCCATTCATGTCAAAACTGCCCGAAGGCAGCGGGAAGCGCAGCGTCACGGGAGAAGCCGTGGCTGCAGCTTTGAACGCGCAATCTAAGCTGAAACGGGCAAGGAAGTCCAAAGTGGCCTGATGAACACTGCCCGGAATCGGGCCTTGCCCTGGCAAGTTGGTTGATGATGGACTAATTAGTTATACATATAAAGAAGTTCTGAAAGCTCTTCGGCGTCGCCAGCAACTCCAATGTACTCATAACGTATGCATGTCACTTCAACAAGCTACAATGACAAATCTGAAAGCAATGGAGATCGTCAAGACTTTTCGGAGCAGAATTTGCCTATCTAAAGAAGCATATGAGGGCTCTTTGAATGCAATGGTCCAAAACTCATATTGTTGGGCTTAAAACGATTCAGTACTGAATATACCCGGATCCTGGGTTTTGCTTAGCTTTCGCCCAATGAGCCTTGCTGATTCAAAACCTGCACCGGACTCTACTCCTTGAAGCTTCAACCGTTGAACCCAGTTCCACTCTCAACGCTAGAAACCTGAGAGTCAGAGCAAGGCCCCCGTAGGAAGGCAGACTTTTCGGCAAGCCCCATGAGATGCCAAGACTCGCAGATCTTCAGAGTCGCCGAAGTTGGCTTTGGGCTTGTGTTAGGGGTTCCGTTGGCTACAAAGCTGAGGGAGTTAAACTTTCTAGCGAACGGATCGGAGATGGGACTTGGATGAACTCTGTGCGAGTCCCCAAAATAGAGCGCGTGCTATGCGCTGCAGCGCATGCAAAGCACGTTGTTCCTTGAGGGAGCATTGCCATGAGCAGGCTCTAAGACTGACTGTGTTCAGTTTTAGCTAGAATGATATATCATACATAATCATGCATGTACGACACGCAAAAAAGAACATGTGATGTCCCACAGAATCCACGCAGAAGTGCTCCTTGACATGGGTGCTTCCAAAGAGCGCGCACAAACAATCAGGTGTGCTAGAGTGAAAGATCTTCCAAGTCGACGTGTATTGGTAGATTGGTTTGGGGTCAGCTTGAGCATGATTGAACGCTCATTGAATGGGTTAATCACTCTTCAAACAGGCATTTGTTTCAAGCGCATGGCCAATCGGCCAATCCTTACCAAATAAGATTCCTTACATATATATTATATATATATCATATATCGATCCTTATATCAAGAAATGATCACAAATCAAGTGCTGAAAGTTCATCACCGAGTGTCACCAATGACCAGCATCATGACCCGCCTTCCTCCGCTCCCAACGGAGTTTGCTGTCTTCCAGGCGCTCGAATTGGAGGAGACTTGGCGCCTTCCAGAGCTCCGCGGGCAGATTCTTGCCTGGGTCCGCTCACAGCCCAGGAGGACTGGGCGCGGAACGTGTCATGGTGAGCTAACGCCGAAGGTTTTTCAGGGATGCCTCACACACAAGTCATGACCAGCTTGGATGTTTATCCGTCATATGAAAAACAAGGAGCGTGTCAGCATTCAGAAGATGGCCGCAGCAAAAAGTCCAGACGTGGTGTTGATGATATTGAAACTATTGGAATGGACTGTCGAATGAAAAGAAAAATCATTCATGGCCCCAAAGACATTATTTTTTACATTCGCACCCCCAAAACGACGGTTCAGCCTCGACGCAGCGCGCCTCGAGGCTGCCCAGGGCCGAACTCCAAAGCTGAGTTTTGCAACAATGCAGTGCAATGGCGGCCGGAAAAGTGTGATTGCATACTGGTATCGGTTTGTAACAGATTGTCATATAATAGGGTATCATCTTGTCATATAGGGTCATATTGTATCAACTTATATATTCATAATGTATATAGGGCTTTTCATTTGCCACACAGAAAGGCATATTTCTCTTGGACTCGTTTTTCGCTTTTTTTTCCCCTACTGCTTTTAAGCTTTTGCTTTTTGCTTTTTGCTTCTACTTCTGCTTTTGCTTCAACTTTTTGCTTGTTGCTATTGCTTCTGCATTTGCTTTTGCTTTTTGCTTTTCCTTTTGCTTTTGCTTTTTGTTTCCTGCCTTTGTTTCTGCTGTTGCTTCTGCTTTTGCTTTTGCTTTTTGCTTCTGTTCTTGCTTCTGCTTTCTGCTTTTGCTTTTTGCTTCTGCGCGAGCGAGACAGTGACAAAGGGAGGGAACAAAAAAGGTATCCCACTTACTATAGGGACTTCTTTCGGGTTTCTTTGGGCTTGGTTTTTGAACTTTAGTCGCTATAGTCACATTTTAGGATAGCAGTTTTTTGCTTTTGCTACACACCTGCTCGCCTACTCCACTTACTTACGACCCTTAGATAAGTCGTTTGTGTGAGACAACTCTGGTTGCAACCAAACACCCACCTGGCTCCACCAGTGCCACGGCACTGGTGGAGCCAGGGGTATTTTTGGGGACTCCCCTTGAGAAGTGGCTGTCGGTAAAACCCGGACCCCTAGTCGTTGGTAGGTTGACCTTCCTGGTAGTCTATTCTGTTCATTTTCAGTGCGTCAACCCAGTTCCTGTGTTGACCCACTACCAAATCTGATAAACCCTTTGCTCCTAGTAGCTTCTTGTTCCTAGTACCTATGGCCAACTCAGGTCAAGTATCGGATGCGGCGCGCGCGACGGGATGAAGACCGTCCATCTTCGCGTGAGCGCGAGCGTTGGGGCATCTCAGCGAACGATGGAACGGAGCAACGCTGGGTGTGTCTTCGGTGGCAAATTTAAACCCAGGAACCCATGGGAACCCCAGTTTTCCGAAGAGTTTGGAGATATCAAGGGACTATGAATGGCTTTATTTGGGGTCCTTGGTTTTGGGCTTGAATTGAGTCCTGGGTCAATCTTCGCAGGGACACTCAGGAAAGGGTTGCTAATTATTTGCTACTTGCAGGCGCCCTTTGGCCAGATCATCACTATCAAAATGTTATAAAGGTATCAGAAGCAATTTGTTGATGGACCTGGTCGGCTCACGTGTGTTTGTTTTATCACTCCTGACCCATTCCAGATGCAGTCCTGGTCCGGCTCCCCAAAAGTTGGAGATGCCCCTTTGAAAGTTAAACCTGTTCGTTCTCTTTGTGGCAGGCTCCACCCACCCAGTTCCTACCCACCTCCGTGCGCCAACCCTCAGGTCGAAGAGGACGGCGACCCTCGGTAGATCGCAGGGGACGGCCCCACGAAGACCGACGTGTGGTGCAGTGGTCGGAGGCGGTGGGGCATGCGGTTTGCTCGGACGCCGGCGGAGTAGCCGGTCGAGTTCTTGTGTAACGATATGCTCGGTCGATGTGCCGCGTAGATGCTATGGGTGGTCCGGCTGGATTTGTGCTATTCTGAAGACAGGCAGCTGAGTTTGGCTTGCAGCAGGGGTTGCATCCTCCTTTTCCAGAGCCGAGTTCTCCCACGTCGTCAGCAAAGAGTTTTGGAAGTCCTTTCCAGACATGGAATATGTGGAGTAAACTGGCGAAGGGTTTCCGATGTCCAAAGAGTTACCTCCAGGTGCCTCGTCACAGACCGCGGGGAGGCACGAGCTTCGCTGCAGTCGCAGTCGTTGTGCTACTAGTAGGAGCACAGAAAGCAGCGTTCTCTGCGTTCTCCCAAGAACAATGGATTCTCCTGAGCTGATACCAACGTTGGAGAGTTGGGAGCTCTTTGCTGACGGACAGCTTTCTCCAGAGACCAGACATGGTTGGTGGCCCTGTTACACCTCCCAAGGTACTCGATCTCTCCACGGCACGATGCCGCCCCTGAATTGATGAGTTGGCGTGGGGTTTTGTCAAGGAAGATCCTTTTTCAAACCTAAACCTGACAGGGCATGGTTCAGAGCCAGGGTCCCACTAAACTAATGACGTGACACGTCTTCCCCGAAACGATCCAAGTCAACCATCAACCTTCTTGCTTTCGCCCTCGGAACGGCCTCCAGGTCACCGCTCCGGCGAGCTCGCTGAGACGTCCCTTCGACCCCTCCACGGCTCGCGTGGAGGCCGCCATTCTGAGCCCAGTAGTCATAGTAGCCGCACCACCAAGATCCACCAGGAAGTTTTGTTGGCAAGGGTGTAGAAGGCTTTGGAATCAGGATCCAGAGTCCATCATGTTTGGCTGCCAGGTTCCACTTCCGCACCTCCATTAAAAGGCCATCAAGAGTGAAGATTTGCAACGACAGAGTTTGGGAGGTCACACTCTGAGCATGTGACCTTTTTTGCTCAGTTCATTGGTTCAAGACGTTGATTCTCTTGACGGCCGCCTTTTCCGTCCCCTTTTTCAGCCATGCCAGCCCCCGGAGCCAAGAAGAAGGTCCTTCTCATCGGTGGCCAGTTCACGGGAAACTTTTGCGCTCGTGAGCTCAAGAAGCAGTTCTACGTCACGGTGGTGGACTGCAAGGAGTGTTCTTACTGAGAGTAGTTCGAGAAAGAACGGAAGAGACAAGGAAAGGCAGTGAATTGGGATAAATGAAGTTTTCATGATCTTTTGTGCGTTCCCATGGTTTTTTTTCCTGCATTTGTTCTTGGTGGACAGCAAGACGCTAGGAGTACTTCGAGTACACTCCAGGCGTCTTGCGGGCTTTTGTCCGGCCGGCCCATTTAGACTCTTTGACCTTCACCTTGCAACCGGTCTACGAGCGCAAGATGGGCGTGAAGTTCATTTGGGGAGAAGTCAAGGAGCTCAATGGAGCCAGGAAGCGTGACCACATAACATGTGTAAAACATAAGACCGGTGGATGTGCTTGTCTCATGGGTGGAAGTTGCTTTTTGCATCTTGCAATGAAACACCATGAAACTTTTCTTAGAGATTGTAATGTAGATGATGCGCATAGGTGATCATAGGTGCATGTGCGTGCATGTATGTTCGCATACAGTATGCATATTCCGTTTGGTCTCCTTCTAACTCATCGCCAACTCCAAGGAAGACTGCCAGTATCAAGACCATGTTCTCCAACAACATCGATGAGGTTGGCTTCGACTATTGCATCATTTGCTCCGGCTGCAACTTCGGCCCCTTCAAGCCCATGGGCGAGTCCTTGTGGTTCCCCACGGTCCACGAGGAGGCCCGAGGCCATTCCGATTGGAAGCACATCGATGAGCGCTACCTGGAGGGGCGTCGTCGTCATGTTTTGGAGGAGTACCAGAAGCTCACGGACCTCAACAAGAAGCAGGCCTGCTTTGGGGATCAGACGGCACCGGTGTTGGTTTCTGTTTTGGACCTTTCGAGTATGGGTGAGAAACTATATCATCATGATATACCCAGACGCTCCATGTATGCCACATTTGCCTACATTGGGGTGGTTTGGGGGTCAATGTAGGCATATATTCCATGGAGTGCATGGGATATATACATATATAATCATATATATATATGTATTCATGATGGATCCATTTGGATCAGATTTTTTTCATATGAGTTGATTCATCAACCGTCTAGATTGCGAACTGTATGAACAAGCAACCCCTACAGCTGCAGGCCACGGTCTTGATTGTGGGTGCGGGCTTCATCGGAGTGGAGTGGGCCACAGAACTGGAGCACTTCTTTCCGAAGCCTGGGCCTTTTAGATCGGTTCTTTTCGACTTTCGAAGAGTTGGCGAAATGGTCCCTGAAATGGACAGGAAATTCAGAGAGAATATGTTGGTCATGCGTCCTTTGCTTTGTGTTTGGGCTTGCTTGGCGCAACGTCTAAGGAACTTGAAGATCACCATCATCGATTTCCTTCCTCGATGCTTGGGGCCTCTGCCGGATGGTGCTGCTGACTACTGCTCAGATTATATGGCAGCTTGCGGCATCAAGGAGTTCTACAATTGCAGCTGGGCGAGTTTGGATCATGTGTTTGTCCCTATTTTCCCTTCCTCAATGATAGCAGCTGCCCATGGATCCAAGACATCACCAGACCTTCGACCCCGGTCGCCCAGGCAAGTATGACCCCAAGAACCCGGAGTTCTGGAAGCAAATCGAGCTCCCCAATGGTGCGGACGAGATCTACGTGTGCATCGGAGTGAAGGCCTCGAACTATTTCATGCCAGCTGAGACGCTCTCGGACAAGGGCCCCGGAGGAGGTGGTTGGATTCATTTCAACAAACATCTCCAAGTGACCCAGACACCTGGCGAAATTGGCTGGTCAGTGATTCAGAGTTGGTGATTCAGTGATTCAGAGTTTCGTCTCATGTTTTCTGCATTGAGTGAGTCCTTCATGTTTCTGGGGAATCTATGGGCATGCTCGGTTCAGTATCCAAGGAAGCCGTCCCTGGGCGGGGGTGTTTGGGCTGATGGCACGATCTATGCGGTGGGTGACTGCAATTATGGCTGCATCGGTGAGCCGGGCAAGTGGGAGATGCCTCCAGTGCCCAAGATCTCATACCCAGGAGAGGAGCAGGCCTACCATGCTTGCTTGAACGTTATGAAGATGGAGAACGGCCAAAAGAACAAGTTGCTTGGCCCGGAGGATGGTGAACGGTGACCACCACTTCTTCAAAATCAATGGAGACAAACATGTAGAGTGTACTTGAACAATGTAGAATCCGGAGATGCCTAGAACATGAGCGCAACGCACAACATGCACAGTACATATATGTATATAGGAATGTGTAGTTCATATGCAAGCTCTTACTTTTACATGCACAAAGAAAGTGACGACGAACATGTGGTGGTAGTCATCCACGGATTCCAAATCTTTGGCACCTCCGAATTGTGGTCACCTGGTGGCCATGACCAGGTTGGTGGTCACCTGGTGGCCATGGGGTGCCGGCATGTTCGCCACGAGCCTGGGACCTCACGATGCTTGCTTCGTGGCCGCGGCCAATGAGAACAAGAACTCGGGCTACATGGTGAACTGGTGGATCCCCGCGGCGTTGCAGAAGGAGATTACCGGTGATCGACCGGTGTTTGGTTTGGTCTTTAAGCCGGCCAAAATACCGGCCAAACCGCTAGATTGGAGTTGAGAGTTTCATGAGACTCACTGGTGTTTGTTTGGATGTAGAACATGTTGAACATGTATCTTACAGCGCTATGTTTGTTTTACTGTAATATGTCTAGATAAATGGATTTACAATTTATCCCATGTTCTCCCAATTGACCAGTGATTAGTCTCGTCCAGGAGATCATTGAAACCACCAAGATCGACGAGTGCCGCGACCGTTGGATTGGTATCCTCATTTGGCACTTTGTGCATCACACCCCCGTGCACCTGTTTGGCCGTGGCCCGTGGTTTGTTTAGACGATTTTACATGTCCCGAACGGGCGACCTCGTCGCAGGCTGTCGCAGGCTTTCATGCCCCGAAGCCCGGTTTGTTTGTGCATTCTGGCGGGCACCACCCTGCGATCGCAATACACAAGACTTGAGCGTGCGCAAACATGTGTATTTTGTCAGAGTCGCGATCCAGCCCAGACGATGCATGCATGGAAGGTGGTTTGTTTTGCAGTTTTGACCACTCGTTTGACCGAAAGCAAACGACTATTTCAGCATAGATTGCACTAAGTGCAATTGAACTTGGCCTAAAGAGGCGATGGGTGATCTCGTGCTCCGCAGGTCGACGCAGAGAGGACGGTGAGATGAGGCTGAGGCGACCGAGCAGCACCGATGACTGACCAAGCCCAAATACGGCGGCCTAGAGACGACCTAGGACCTGGACGTGTCCAGGAATGTCCCCTTCAAGAGGGGGATAGTAGGGTCTTTAATGTACACTCTTGATTCATCACCCCCTCCAGATTCTTCATATGGGGGGTGGCTTTATATGAGTTTAACTGAATTGAAGAGTGCTAATATAGAGTGCTACATAATATCTACCACGCTGAGTTATTGGCACGATATGCTACATCTTTGCATTTCTTTCCCGTAGCCCTGTGGGACGCTCTTCAAGGCCGCGCACGGCGCGGGAGAAGCGCTACGAGGCGGCCTTGAAGACCGCCAAAGCGCCGGGGCCCGAGACAAAAAGCGCCGAAACGTGAGGCCGAAACAGACGGAGGACTTGGCGGAAACCAAGCTGTAGGCATAGCATAGGGATAGCATAGGATAGCTTTGATGGATCATGATGGATCCTTTTGTGTGACACTTGGAAGTTAGAGTCCAACATCCAAGCAAAGGCCCGTGAAACATGGAACTGTTATGAGATGTTATGAGCTGTTCTTGTTTCGTGTCTCTTTTTGTGCGGCAGTGTAGCTTTTGAATGTGATGTTATATAATGTTTTCTGAATATTGTTTCCGCTTGGTCGGGTAGGTGCAGCTCTAGGCGGACCTTGTTTGCAGACCTGTGAGGAAAGCCCGTCCAAAGGCTGCAATCCGAGGACCCCGTTCTGGTCGGTTTGGCGTGTCGAGCCGACGAAATCCAGATCTTTAGACCGAGCGACCGAGAGACGTTCAACGTCACAATAGCTCCGTTTGTGGGGAAAGGTGCTGATTTGTCCGTTGGATCGGTTCAGAGCCCGCTTCGGATCGGTTGACTGCGGTTTTTGGTCAGCCGCCAGCGTTTTGATCTCGTGCAGGCAGAGAAGCCAGATCAGGCAAGCTAGACCAAGAGGAGCTTTCGAAGAAAATGGATGATCAAACGCCTATGCACCGACAGGCCCGGCGACGTCAGATGAAACTGCGTCATGAAATTCTATAGATGTTTCCCACTTTTGCATACAGAACTCCCGCAGATAGGGCTATGGTCGAGCAGGGTAGACCATTCACGTCTCGTGAATCCGATTCGGGCTCGATGGGTACTTACGTTTGCAGCTTGGCTACCAGCTTCGCCTCGCGCTCCGCAAGTCCAGGATCACCGCCCAAAGCCAAAAGGGAGAGCAGTTAAAGCTGCCCCCCAGGCTGGTACGGCGCCTGTCACGGTTCCGCACACCACTGGGGCCCCAAGAGACCAAACCTCGAAAACACCACTCGGCGTGACAGGAAATATCCGGAAACGTCCATGTTTTCCAGGTTGCATGTTTATGGAATCGGGTGTGGGTTTGCAGCGGTAGGTGTGGGCATGTGTACCCAGGTGTGCGTCAGATCCCGGTTGCTGGTTTGGCCTCTACACGGACTCCGCCGGTGAAATGTGTTTAGTCTGTCGTGGATTTATCAAACTCACTATACTGAGTAGTGAGTACTGCTGGTGTGTTCAGCAGTTTGGTCGTTCAGAGGGGAGGCCGAGGAGAGGGTCCGTGAACTCAGTTCGGCAGCCACATGCCAGGCCAAGCGGCCAAGGATGACAGATGTGGAGGCAGGTCGTCGTCACAGAATCGTGGAGCCAGGCCTTGGCATCAAACCTGGAGCCAGTGCCAGGCTTTTTGAAGCCAACCAGGTAACCAGTGGTTTGTAGACGAATCTTTCAGTTTGGGCGTTCAATCTGGATGATCTTGGGGCGATGTGGCCCTGTAAATGCCCATGTTGACTCGACATAAGTGCCTCATGAACACCGACGACGAGCAAAGGGGATATTGCCTTACTTGTAGCTAAAGGGCCTTCCCCGCGGACGATTCCAAACAAGTGCACCTACAATTCTCAACCAGGGGTGCCAGCCACAAGCCCTCGCAAGACAAACATTTGCTGCATGTTGCTGATCTCGATGCTTATCTCGATGCCTTGCATCCACACATTTGCGTCAGCATGCCAGGTGCGCAAGCAGCCAAACACGGCGAACCCACAGCATCCAAGCCTGCCGGAGGAGGCGCTCGCTGACACTGTGGACCCAGTTGCGCTCGCAGAGTTTCGCTGGTCAGGGCTCCAACATGGTTCATTTCTCTTGGAAGGAACGCAGTTTTACCATCCACAGCTCCTGATCCCGCTCCCCGACATTTCGATGTGTGGGAACAACACAGCACCATTTGACCATATTTGACCACTTGCGGACCAATTTCGCGAACGAGCTGGTTCAAGTACAACACAGCACCATTTGACCATATTTGACCACTTGCGGACCAATTTCGCGAACGAGCTGGTTCAAGTTCAGGGAGCTTCAGACTGCTTCGATTTCTAGGAGTCCTCGTCCGAGTACTCTTACTACAGTGCGGAGCCGAGCGATCCGGCCTCATTGTGCGAACCTGTGGATGTGAAAGAGAAACCTGTGGATGTGAACCTGTGGATATACCTGTTATTGTGGGTTGATGTGTGTGTTTTTTATTTTTTGGCTGTTGTTGATTTACCTTCACACATGGAAACAGCAAGAAGTATACATGCTTAGCAAGTACTGACTCGTCCTTGTGGGTGAATTTTGGGAGAAGATGTCAATGTGCGAGGTTTGTTTGTTTGCATTTTTTTGTGGAGTGCATCTCAAAGAGGCACATGTCTCAAGTCTCAAGCTAACATGACTCTAGGACAAGAACCAGAACCCACTATGGAGCCATAGGGGGTGGACTTTTAGGGGTGGTACCCCCCTGAGAATTGCATAGTGCGAAGTTGGCTTGTTTTTTGTGATGTGTTGATGTTTTCACAACAGACTTAGTAAGAGCTTAGGAAGGCCTTATCAGCTTCCTCTAGAAGGTGTATTTGCTTAGTAAGGCTTCCCCAGGTTGCTACTGCGGCTGCGAATGGTTATTGAGTGGACGCTAAGTAGAGAGTACCTAGTAAGGCCATACCAGTGGCACCATAGGCCTCTGCTCAAGGGTGTCCCACCCCCAGGGGTTCCACCCCCTGGAGCTGGATGAAACCCATGAGGGAGTCTCAGACAGCTCAGCCTGGCGGTGAGGGATTCGCTTTGAGGTGATGAGGATGGAGAATCCTCCAGCAGCGAGGAGTTGGGAAACCTCAGCAACGGTTTTTCCCTCCAGAAAGGAGGGCAAAGGATGGATGGTTGAACAGCTGAGGCCGTGGAAAGTTTGATGATCATCTATTGTTGTTGAACTAGCCGCTTGTTTGGGCTCGTTGTTTAGGGAGCATTCGTCCAGGAAGCTAAATAAGAACGCCTATAGGCGTCGGACATACGACATGAATACCATAGGATCCAAAAGGAACAATACTAGAATTTTGTATCATGTTACAATCATGTTGTCAGATGTTTGGACTGTAGTAGTAGATTCCGCTTGGTTACCATGGAATAATATTGGAATCCACAATTTCTGTAAAACCGTTTGGAACCTACCACAGAGAGAAAGGTTGAGGTTTTGAATGGTTTTGATACCACGTCTCGATCGTAGCTCTTGTGCCCATCTCTCTTCAAAAAGGTGTGCTGGTTGGCCAACTCCTTTAATTCTCATAGTCATAGTCTCACGCACACCCAAGACGAAACCTCAGGGACATGGAGACCCCATGGCTTTGTGGCTCCGCCATACACCCCCCACCGTCTTCAAGGAAAGCCCATCCAGCTGGGGCAGTCCAAGGACGGAAGCGCTGGGGCAGTCCCGCCCGGGAAAACCATGAATTTCTGGGGAGAACCAGCCAGGCGACCCCTAATTACAATTGGCGGGTCGAGAAATGTCTGGGCTGCTGTCTTTTTTCCGAATGTCAATGATTGGTTGATTGGTTGGCTGCCTTTTGTGGTTGAATGCCATGGAACATGTTACTCGTGCTGTTGATGAAGCGACCGTCTCCAGCCGAAGATGTTGCAAACTGCTTGGCTCGGCTTTTGGTTGTTCGCTTGACTCGACTGTCATGCAGCAGGCGGAGAAGCCAGATCAGGCAAGCTAGATCAGGAGGAGCTTTCGAAGAAAGTTGAAGGTCAAATGACTGTGCACCAACAGGCCCGGCGACGTCAGACATACCTCGATCATCGGCATCTAAAAAAAGGGCCAAAACACGCGATGAAGAGTTCTTTAGGAAAGTCCAAGAATGTGTTTCCTTATGTTCCCCTGTGTAAAAACGATGGGAACCCTGAAAAACGATGCCAGAGAGATTTGGTACCTTGTGTTGGGTCCTACTTGCCTTTGGCGCCAGCTTTGTGACAGCCAGAGTCTCCAATCCCATGGCTCCTACTAAGCGAGCTCGAGTTCATTTGTTGTGGCCAAAACAGACGTGTAAAAACGATACCGAAATCGATGCTTTTCGATACCCCAAACTATACCTGAAATCATCAAATGTATTCAAAAATAGCGAACACCACGGGCACAATGTCGAGGGTTGCCCAACACATTTCCTCTTAGTCAAGACGGCAGCAAGCAGGCTACTTCTCTTGAGTGTCCACAAAAACGACCTGTCACCGTTGCCGAACCAGTACTCAGCCTCGCAGTGCTGCTCCAGGATCACCTGCGCCATGCAAAGCCCAAAGGGAGAGCAGTCAAAGCGGCCCCCAAGGACCAGCTGCCGCACGGGTGGAGACTGGGCCCCCGAACTCGCCACCATGCTGTCTCCGGATGGGAATCGCGTGGGTGAGCAGCGAGCGAACTCGCCGAGAGCGAACGACCGTGGTGTTTGTGAGGATTTCGCGAACGACCGTGGGCTTGTTTGACTGGCAACATGATCAGACATCGTCTGATCGCGCCACCCATCAAGTCAAGTGGATTGCCACCAATGGCCAAGCAAGATGCCACGAATCAAGTCTGCCAAAATCTGCATGTACTACATACCTCCCTCGCCATTTGTGTTCGGTACCATTGGTTTATCATAGCTCTTGGTGAAGTGTGTCGCACTGACATCATTCAACAAACATGGAAAGTGGGAATGATGGCGTACTTTCCATGAGTGGGAACCACAAAAGACATCTACACTTTCGGGTCGGCGCAATTCAGGGACTGTATTCAATGTGCCATCCCTTTTCGACCCAATGTTTGGCCTTATCGACGCTCTAAACAGCCGAGCGCATCGCACCAGGCCCGGCAGATCACAGATGTTCAGGTCGGATGCCCAGCTCCAGACGACCAGAACTGAAGTGAAGGCGGAACAAAGCCTCCTTAGCAGCTCTCAAGGATATTGGAATCATGCGATCAAAAAGGCAACCCTGATAAGATTAAGATCCTATGAGTCATGGCCAAAGCCAGTTCTAAGATGATGTTTAAAAGTCCAAGTCCAACACATGTTGATACATTCCCTTCCACCCACACATTTAATGGGCATGCGGCATGCCTTCAGGCGCCCAAGCAGCCGAACACAGCGAATGCACAGCACCAAAGTGTCGCGGAGGAGGTGAGCCGGCCCAAGAAATCGTTTGGGTTGAAAGAATGGGACTGAGTATGTTGGTCGAGCAGCTGCTGTGAGTTTCCAAGGGAGCACAGCCAGCGCGGGTAAGCAAGTGGGGTGAGATTTGATGATCTCGTTGAATTCTGTGCAAGCTGAACGCCTGGCTGCAATATCCATGTAATCCGACTTAGAACATCGCTCAGGCTGCAATTTGGCCTTATAATCCTTATAGGTGATTCAGGAAGAAAGCTTGCCCAATTCCAGATTCTTTGCTTCGGCGTTTTCACGATACAGCAAACCGCCGCCCAGCGAGGGGAATGTTGATGCGATGTATCTATGAGGTTGATTCTAACTGTTTTACTGGTCTGTTGAAGGCAGGATGTGAATGCTAGCAGCTACCCGAGTATACTCTAAACCCACCCATCAAACTAGGAATGATTAGGAATCATTACTGGGGTTTGTGGTTTAGAATCATTACTGGGGTTTGTGGTTTAGGGTAAGGTTGTTCGCATGGAGTTTGCTTTGTTGTCTTTGCATCCAACCTCCATCGTCGAGCGATGAAACCGGAGGCCTGAAACAACGGCAGCCATGGAGGGTGCACTCTGGAAGAGACCCCCAATGCAACCTGGTTAAACCACGTCGGGTTGTAGAGGAAAAGAGCCTTCCAACGGCCCATGTTCAGGTGCCGTGTTAATCTCCCCGGGGTTACTTGTAACTGCATTATTATACCCTGTGGATCCACATACCTTCTGAGAAGGTGATTGGAGACTATTTAAGTAGGCGCCAGGAGGGCCCGAAGCCCTTCTGAGAAGGTATGAGGATCCATAGGGCATGCCATAGGGATATATAGTTGTCAGTGTAGTTGTCCTATTTTACTTCTTGCCCATCACCCCTCGCCGACTCCGATACCAGGAGTCCTCCTCCTCCGAGTGCTCCGACATCCGCCGAGAGCTTGGCCGTGAAGCGAAGATGCTAACGCGAACGCGAACGTGGCACAAGGGATGGCTCAGGCTCAATGATGCTCACCTCACCTGGTGAAAAACATAATGACCCAACAATTTCACCATGTCCACACCCTTCAAGTGTTTCACACTGTTGTTGACCATGGGAATTAAGGTGGAGTTGTCAACTGTTGAGGGCTTGTTCCAGGGGGTCGGTGTTGATAGATTGTTCGGCATTGGTCAGCCAAGCGATCAACTGATGCTGAGTCGAAGTGCTTCAGTGAAGAACTGTGATGGGTGTTTCAGCCTGGAGTTGATGGGTGGCCAAAGTTCAATTATATACCGACTCCTGCTGGTAGCGGTCCGAGGTGAAGAGGATGGAGAATCCTCCAGCAGCAGTGAGGAGTGGGATGCCACAGAGGATGAGATGGACGATTTCGCAGGGGTTGCAACCACCAGCCACGAAAGCAGATGAAAGCAGGGAACCCCTTGATTTTTCAATCTGGAGTATTCTTGATCTAGATTCTTGTGGCACGTGGGGGCCAAACATTCTGCATTTGGAAAGCCAGGGTACTTCGTGTTAAGGTTGAAACGGAGAGCAGAACTTGCTAGAGAGGCTTTGCCATGTGATCTACAACCTAAACCTTCCACGGTCAGTTTTATAGCTAGCGCGTTCTACTCGATGGTTGGTGGCATGACAATCCCCTACCAGAGTCCTTTGTTAACAATCTGATTTGGATATATGGCCAGCTATTTTCAAATCTTCGCTTTCGCTGGCCGTTGACCAGACTTGAGGTCAGACGAAAACAAGTGAAGACGTATCGAGCAACCATGGATGTTACGTGCTCGATTGGATTGAACAAATATAGTAAATATACAATTATATACTATATTGGGTCTGTCCTATTGCCTGTAACCGTCAGTAAGCAGTTATTATTATTTTTGAACAATGCCTTTACATAACCATCATCATCCACTGTTTCAGGTGTGTATATATATATACAAAGTGACGCATTAAGAACGGTAGCCGGTAGGCTGGACTCAAATCTTTATTCATGCAATTGGAAATGAATTATTTAGGGGGATGGACGTCACCTAAGATAAATGTATTAATATTACATGTTGTTTGCCATGGGTATGGGAGTGAGAAAAACGTGTGAAACTAAGTCGAAATGATAAATGCCACACCCGTAGGCGCCACTTATGTCCATTAGTGGAACTGGATAACATAGGAACAGTGCAAATTAGAGAGTCGATTTAATTTCGAAATCCAGGTTTCAACCTGGTAGTAAAGGCAACTTTCAAGTTGCTCCTTGTTGGCTGCATTTAGGATTTGAACCAGTTGCTCTCGAAAGCTATTAAAGTCAACTTTGTTATGACAGATATGGTTCCATATCAAATCCAAGGTGTTGCGAGTCCACTCTTTGCGTGGTTTGCCATCACGCCTGCATAACATTTCGATAGGAGAGGCCGAGTCGATTTTGAAGCTTACCATCCTCATGGGTGTTTATGATGTTGGCGAAGAATTCTACCAACTAAATCCTCCGCGTGTGAGGCTCTATGAAATGATCTTTACTTTCCTCTTTGAAATGGGTTTTGGACACCCATTCTATTTTGATATTATGTGATTTTATATCCTTAAAACAATTGACCATTATGGGCATTTATTTTCTGGAGGATTGCTTGTACAAATATGCATTTTAGATGGGTTCTGATTAAAGATGTCGGAAAGGCATCTTAAAGAGCGAAGGGGTGTATTGTATCTATTGTTATTACGAAAGCCAGCCGATAGGCTAGGCTGGAGTGTTGGGGAACGAACGAAATGACGAAAGATAGGGCAGGGATCAAACGAGGAATATCCGACAGAAAGGGATCCAAATCCTGCTATAAAATTTAATTTGCCCCCTACTAACGGAAATACACACGTTTAAGGAGGAATTAAACCCGCGGGAGGGGGGGAGGTTATTATGCGATGCGATGCTCTCGAAAATTATTGCTAAAATAAAATAACTAAATATATTCGATATTTAAATCTTAAATAAAAAAAATCATGTTTATGATTTAAATCTAAATATATAAAATATTAATGTCTTTCTCTAATTTGTAAAATTCGAGGAATAATATTATTATGTAATATATATAAAATATTAGAATCTTTAATTATGAAGGTGATGATTAATTTTTGGATAATTATGTGTTGATTATATTATGAAAGGTGGTCGGTAGGTAGGGCTTGCTTGAGGTTGCTGGAATGAATGAAATGAATAAAGGGGGTGTGGGGGGGGGGGGTCGTAAAATTGTTAATTTCGGAGAGGTGAATTTAAAATTTGATGGGAAACGAAAAAATTAGGTGGATTATTTGATAATGAAAAAGGAATGGCTCGAGGGATTATATAATATTGATGATATAATTGATATTAAAAAAAAAAATATTTGTTATAATTTTATATTTTATTCTTACGATATATAATAATTTTGAATCGTCTATTTCTAGCATTTATTTATTAAATTTCTATTTTTAAAATATTTATTAATTATTGTTAAATTATTTTTCTTATTCCTTATTAATTTTTTAAATTATATAAATACTATTAAATACTTAGCATTAGTATGAAAGCGAGCTTAGAAGAAACATTTGATGGAAATTATTTTTTACGAAATATGGTGAATCTTAAAATCGAAAGATTTTATGAATTAATAAATTGTTTTTTATTAAAGGAAGGGGGGCGTCTAATATTCTCTAATAAAGGAATTTGATTAATATTATTCGATTATTCTTTTAATTTTGTAACAAAATATATTAAACATTTAGAAAAAACAATATAAAAGATAATTCTTTTTGTGATTGGTTGACGTAATTAATAATATTCTGCGTTCGTGGCACAAAAGTATTTGTGTTGTTGTTCTTTTTCCGCATCTGTTTACTCCTTATTTTCGTTCCCATTGTCTTTAAGTTAATATTACGAGGGGCATCGAGGGATTGAGGAAATTATAGAAAGGGAATAATTTTAAAAAAGAAAAGAAGAGAATGCAGAATGTTATCTATTGAGGGCTTGCGAGAATCGAATTAAAGAGGGAATTCGGGGGTTAGGGCAGGAGAGAGAAGAGATTATAACGAAGAATTATTGAATGTGGAAGGTCTTAAATAGCTTGTTGTTGGATTGAATTGGATATTTTATATTGGGGATATATGAGCCACGGTCAAAACATGCGAAGACCACTTTAGTAAAGAGGGGTAGGTTTGTGCACAAAATTCTTCAAAACGATAAGGTCCACCTCAAAACCGATAACCCCAGCGCTGTATATGGTCATAAGTATGCGACGAACTCAAAACGTTGTAAAACGATAAGGTCCACCTCAAAACCGATGACGTCCATTTTTTAGCTGAAGAAGAATAAGGAATTTTGACCATCCTTCATATGATGCTATATTTAGATATTAATTATTGGATTCAAAACAACATCCTATATGGGGTGTATGATGGCATGTGTTGATGGTCTGCGAGCGAACCGGATTGAAGAGGATATAATATTCCCTGTGCGATGGGAATTTAAATTATGGGGAATAGGAAAGAGAAGAGATTACAATGTAAGCATTGGAGATAGAAGGTCTTGCATAACTTAGGGGAACCCTTTTTTAATCCGTAGCAAGATTTAATTTTTGGATTGAAAAGGACACCCGTATGGGGGGTATGATGCCATCTGTTTAGGACCTACAAGAGAATCGAATTGAAGAGGATATTTCACATATATTATAAATTCACGTGGAATGGGAAATTATTGAAGGCAGGAGAAAGAAGAGATTGCAATGGGCATTATTAGAGGCGGAAGATCTTGAATAGCTTCAGGATGCCCTTTTTATCCGTAGCAAGGGTGTTTTTTTAACCTCCATATTATTTCTGAATATAATTGACCGGGGCGAAAGAGGGAACCCCTAGATCTAGATCTTTTATTGTCTATTCCTATCCCCTATTAATGGGAATGCGATTTCAATTTCATCCCATTAAATAGATTTTATTCGATATTATTTTATTATTTCCTTTTGTACGCCAAATCTTTGCCCGGGCCTACCCTGAGGCCAAATAAACTAGAGGTTATTTTTCGCCCCCTCCTTTCTCAGGTGTATAGATATTTTTTCTAGAATCGAGGTATTAATAAATTGAATTTAGTATTATAAGTAAAATTATTCATCGATAATGCAATTAATAGCTGTCAAAATAACTATAGAATTATTTATATATATATATATGATTTATAATGAAAATAATTCGATTATATAGAATTTTTGGAAATTAATAATAATATTATTGAAAATAATATTTTTATTATTCCTCATTGAAAAATATTTGTTTAGTAATTTTATAACGAAATATAAAATTATACCTATATTTAACAAATATGAACCGGAATTTATTGTAATATCTTATTAAGCCCGCGGGAAAGGGGGAGGTTGTTTATGCAATGCGGTGCCCTCGAAAAGTCCTTATTTATAGAAATAAAAATAATCAAATAATTAACATAATTAAGTTATATATTGAATTGTTCTATATTTCAAATTTAATTGATAAAATCTCTTCTATGATATAGTATTATTCTATTTATTTTAAAAATTGAATTTAAGTATGTTTTTATATAATAAACATAAAATTTAATTATTGTTATTATTAAGATAATTAATTTTTGATAAATATATGTTTTGCCCATATTAACGGTAGGTAATGTTTTAGAATGAACGAAATAAATAAAGGGAATGTGGGGGGGGTGGTCGGGAGAGGACCAATTTCGGAGGTGAATCTAGAGCCTGATGGGGAAGAATACAAAAATGAGGTGGGTTATTTGCTAATGAAAAATAAATGATTTGAACGGTGCTGGGATATCGATAATGTAATTGACGTCGAACAAAATATTATTAATATTATGCGGATTGAGTAATTTATGGAATGAGAATAAATTGTAATTGCGGTTAAGCTTAGCGTTGCTGCCGGATTGAAGAGGGCATTCCCTATGTGGTGGGAGTTCACGTGGATTAGGGTATTGCGGGCAGGAAAGAGAAAAGATGGAAAATCAATAAATAAAGAAGGTTGGCGAGCAAGCGTTGGAGGCACACGATTGGAGTTGTTGGGTTGCGTGGTGGAGGGCAGGAAAGAGAAGAGATTGCAGCGGGCAAATATTGGAGGCAAAAAAATTGAATTGCTTAGGGATGTCCTTGTTTCCCCGTGACAAGGCTTAATTATTGGATTGAAAAGGACACCCTATATGGGATGCATGATGCCATCTATTAAGGGCTTGCGAAAGAATCGGATTAAAGAGGGCACCCCCGATGCGGTGGGAATTTATATTAGTTGAGGCAACAAAGAGGGCAAACATTGGAGACAAAAGGTCCTAAATAGCTTAGGGGTGCCCATTTTTATCGGTAACAAGGTCTAATTTCTGGATTGAAAAGGATATCTGTATGGGATGCATAATACTATTTATTTAAGATCTATGAAAGATCCGAATCGAAGAGGGTATTCCCCATGTGATGGAATTTATATGGAATGGGAGATTGTTGAAGGCAAACAAAAAGAAGAGATTGCAATGGGTAAGCATTAGACGTCGGGATTATCGGGATATTGTTTTTATCCGTAATAAAAATACCCTTTTCCCATCCATAATAATTCTAAATAAAGAAGAATCCTTTAATTTTACCTCCTATCACGTACCACGATGACAATTTCATTCCATATACATACTCTTTATATATATATATATATGCACTCTATATATATAATCTGAACCTATCATTTCATCTTACGTATTTATATCTTTCCAATATTAATCTCACCAATTGCGATTATTCTTTATCCATTCTACCGATAAATA